CGCGGAGAGCCCGGCCCTGGCCCGGGGCGCGCGCTGGCAGCGCATGGCTCCGCGCGCGCGCCGGCACCGCAATTCGGACGCCCGAAATGGGCACAGTGCCCAACAGCAAATGTTGCCCCAAACCAACAGCGGCCGCTGTTGGGCCGGCGGCCTTCTGTGTCGAATGGGCACGGGCCGCGGCGGCGTGGACAGCCAGTCGTGCTCGAAAGGAACAGGAACTGCTGTTGGGCATTGTACCCGTTCTTTCCGTACCCATTTCGGGCGTCCAGACGAAAGGAGCGACGAGCGGCGCGGGAGGCCGGCCGGCTGCACGCCAGGCGCAGAGATCCAACGCTCTGGAAAAAATATGTAACAAAACAACAACAACAAAAACAAAGAAAGCAGCAACAATACAGAGGCTTTTCGCACATGTTTCGCCCGCTCAGGGGTCCTCGCCGGGCCCCAGGACCGTCACAAAGCGACTCAGGATGACACACGGGTCCCGGGGAATGGGTCGAGACCTCTGGGGACCCCGTATCGAACAAATCACGACGTCGGATATCAGGGACGCGGCGCCGGCAGGCGAGCCGGCTGCACGCCAGCGCCGATCCTCGCCTATGCCCGCAGCCTGGCCGGCCCAGGAGGGGGTCCCCTGCATGGGATCCTGGCGCTGCAATTTGTTCACAACGGGCGGTTTCGATCCATTTCGAGCCCCGGGACCCTCGCAGATCGGTCCAGCTCGAAAAATGACACAGAAAGATGGGTCCTGGGCTCCAGTCGGGAATTGTTGCGATGTCGCATTTTTTTTGCAACGTCGGATCTCAGGGTCGCGGCCAAGAGAGGGGGAGTGGTGACCAAAATCGCCGCTGCGCCCTCCCGCCGCTGGTTGCAGCGCTCCTCCTCCTCTCCTCTTTCTCTTTCCCCTCCTCTTCCTCCTCTTCCTCCACTTCCTCCTCCTCCTCCTCCTCCTTTCCTTTTCCTCCTCCTCCTCCTCCTCATCATCATCAACATCATCATCATCAGTATCATCTCCTCTTCCTCCTCCTCCTCCTCGTCCTCCTCCTCCTCTCCTTTTCCTCCTTCTCCTCCTCCTCCTCCTCCTCCTCCTCCTCCTCCTCTCTGGAAATCGGCATCGGTGGCCTCGATCTGAGATCGAAGGTCCAGATTTTCGGACGCGGATGGGGACCGTCGGATTTTTGTGCGCTTCGCGGTTCTCAGACCCCCGACGTCGTGCTTCTGCCATAGCTAACGTAGACCTCTCCAGAGGCCTGGACCTCTGCCTGGGGACAGGTGTGTTTCAGCCCGAGTCGTTTTTTGACGGACCCCAGGCTCGGAAAGCGCCCTTGGAGGCCGCACATCTAAACAAAAACCGCAGTCGTGATTGCTTCCCGACGCAAGGGGGTCTCGACGCCAGGAAGCCTCCATACGTCCGTCGTTTCTTGACGGGCCCAATGCCAGGTAAGTGTGAAAAGAGAGCAACACATTCCGTCTTGATTCTTGCCACGTTGCGAGGGGGTCTTGGCTCGAGGACCTCGACGCCCGGAACCCTCCATACGACCATCGTTGTTTGACGGGTCCCAGGCCTGGCACGTGCCCCTGGATGCCGGCAGAACGAGAGCATCACCTTCCGTCGTGGCTTTTGCCCGTCGCGCCAGGGCCTGGGTTTGTGAACCTCGACGCCCGGAAGCCTCCGTACGTCCTCTGGACTGATGGGCCCATTGTCCACCACCGCTACCATCTGTAGGAGAGGGATGAGGAGGAGGAGGAGGAGGAGGAGGAGGAGGAGGAGGAGGAGGAGGAAGAGGCGGAGGAGAACGAGGAGGAGGAGGAGGAGGAGGAGATGGAGGAGAGGAGGAAGAGCAGGAGGAGGAGGAGGAGGCGGAGGAGGAGGTGGAGGACCTCCTCATCCTCCCTTCTCCCCCGTCCTGCATGTGGTAGCGGTGGTGGGTAATTTGCCCATCATGGACGCCTCTGGGGGCCTCGCGGGAGCCCGCGGAGGCCTCGGAGCTCCAGGGCTGTGCCTGGGCGCAGGCCTGGGGCTGGGCGGGGATCGGTGTGGCGTGCAGCCGGCGTCCCTCGCCTCACCAGGCAGGCCTGGCCCTGCTTTTGGGAGAAGCAACGGCTGCGGGGGGATGGGGGGGGGGAAGAGAAGGCGGAGGAGCAGGAGTAGGAGTAGGAGTAGGAGTAGGAGTAGGAGTAGGAGGAGGAGGAGGAGGAGGAGGAGGAGGAGCAGGAGGGGGAGGGGACGGGGGAGAGGGAGGATATGTAGTTTATACGTTGCACGCTCTGGGGTTATGGACATACATACCTGGACATTCGCTAATTGCCTACATGCGCATATATGTATGCACATATACAGTGGCATGTACACACATATAGATCTGTGTATAAGTCGTTCTGTCTCCCCATTGATCGGCCTCCCTACCTGCCCTTGGTCCAGCCCCAATTTACAAACCGACCGCACAGCTAACGTCTCAGACATACAGACATACATGCATACATATACATATATACACATGTATGTATATTTAGAAAGACGCATCAGTCTGACGAAACATCTAGAACACTCCCTCAACATACACATGTTAGATACCAATAGCGATCGATTGGGACAAACATCCACCATTGGTCTCACAAACTATGAGCATATAGAGATACCACCATATATCTTACATCAACCGTTGTCACGATCTACTGATCTCACTATATACGGGTCAAAATCAAAATCAACAGATCTGTCGGTCTAACTATACATCTATCAGGGCAACGGGTGGGACAAACATCTGCACAACCATCGGGACAACTATCAAGACAACCATCGGGACAACCATCGGGACACACAACCAACGGGACAACCAACAGGACAATCATCGGACAGACATCGGGACAGCCATCGGGATAACCATCAGGATCACCATCGGGACAACTGGCGGGACAACTGGGAACCACTGGGAGCAACCTGGGGAAAGGACCCGGACACGGGGCGACACTTTTTGTCCTGACCTGGCCCAAGAAAGGCGGAGCTCGCGCAGCTTCGCCTCGCCTCGTCCGCACACACCCCACGCACTTCACAAACGAAACGATTCAATCTCACGGTTGAGCTGAGGGTGAGCACATCTGAACGTGAGTGACTGAATCGTCGGTTCGAGTGGGAGTGTGTCTAAATATGGAATGAAAAAGAGAGACAAGACAAAGAGAGAGAGAGAGAGAAAGAGAATTCATGTGGGCCTGATGGGTATGAGTATGACTGGCTCTGGATACGGATCAGTCCTAGCATGAGTGAAGGCATCCTGAAGCCTCCTGGAGCGTCCTTGGGCCTTCTGGGACTTCCTGAAGCCTTCTTGGACCTCTTGCTGCATCGTTGACCTTCCTAGGGTGTCCGGGAACTCCTGGGACCTCTTCTGGCCTCCGGGGCCCCTCTCGGAACTTTCAGGGAAGAGGGGGTCCTGTAGTTTCCCAAAGCCTCCTTGGGCTTCTAGGGTATCCTGGAGATGCTTCGCCCTGCTGGGCCTTCCTCAGACCTCGTGGGGTTCGCTGTGGCATCCATCCTGGGACTTCCCGGGGCCACCCGGCGGTTCCATGGGCTTCCTGAGGATTTCCGTGGCTTCCTGGGGTGAGGAGGAGCCGACAACGACGACAACGACGACGACGACAACCACGACGATGACGAGAAGGACGAGAACGAGGACGAGGACGAGAATCAGGACGACGACGACGACGACCACAACCACGACCACGACGACGTCGACGACGACGACGACCACGACGACGACCACGACGACCACGACCACGACCACGACCACGACCACGACCACGACAACGACTGCGACCACGACCACGACGACGACGCCGACGACGACGACGCCGACAATGACGACGACGACGCCGACGACGACGACGACGACGACGACGACGACGACGACGGCGGCGGCGGCGGCGGCGGCGGCGGCGGCGGCGACGAGACATCACCCAAAACGGGCGCCGACCTGGGCGGCGGCGGCGGCAACGGCAACGACGACGACGACGACGACGAGACACCACCCAAAACGGGCGTCGACCTGAGAGGTCCCACCATACTTGGCGCGAGCGGCACCGCGGACAAAGCCGATCCTGATCCCCCCCTTACCCCCCTTGGGCGCCCCAAGTGCGATACTTGCAAGCTCGCGATGACCGTGGGGCTCTGAACGGATGCGCACTTACTTCCGGGAACTGCCCCTGTTACCTCCCTGGGGAGCCCCTCCCCCCCCTTGGGAGGTCAGAAAGTGGTCGCCTGCTACCTCGCAGTGGTCAGAGGGGGTATGACGGGAGACGTCTGCCAGTCTCCTCCTCCTCCTCCTCCTCTTCTTCCTCCTCCTCCTCCTCCTCCTCCTCCTCCTCCTCCTCCTCCTCCTCCTCCTCCTCCTCCTCCTCCTCCCCGGCCCCAGGACCCCGTGCTTTTCGCCAGGAGTTCTACCTGAGAGGCCTCACCGGTCTGGACGCGAGCGGCCCTTTGCCATGCCCCGTGGCAGCTCCCCCTCTCATGGGGAAGCCCGGGTGCGATGCCTGCCGCCTCGCGGTGACCATGGTGCTGTGAGACGGAGCGCGCCCACCTCCGAAAATGGCCAGTGGTCCAGCGAGTCTTTGGAGGCTCTGGCAGGGGTCTCCCGACTTGCCCCGTGAAGAGAAGCTCGGACTGTCGCCAACAAGTACCCACCTACTCTCGATCCTCGGGCCCGGGGGTCTGGCCAATATCAAGATGTGAGCCCAGACTTTCAGTCCGCGCTGGCGCCCGTAACCGGCCCCGCCCCCCCCTCCACTGGAGGAACGAAAACCAACATAAACATCAATTTTCGGAGGTCCGCGCGGATGTTTTGGCTCGGCGCGACACCTCCTTCCTGGCGCGCGGAAGGCGCCAGGGACGGCGCCGGAGGTGCCGCCGGGGGGGGCCAGCGCCGGTCCAGGAAATCCGCGCAGACCGTCGAGAGTTTCTGTGTATGCCATATTTTCCTCTTTGATCCACGTCACTCGAGCCTCTGGAAGCAGAGGAGGAGGAGAAGGAGGAGGAGGAGGAGGAGGAGGAGGGGAAACGCGTGTTGCCCCCAGAGAAGACGAAGGGGCGATCTCTCCTGACTTCCGCTTCCCCGGCGGGCCGCCCCCCGACGCAGCGGCCGCGGCATGCGGGTTGGCGGGAGGAGCGAGGGGGGATGCAGGAGGAGGAGCGGCCGGGCGGGGAGGAGGAAAAGGAGCAGAAGCGGGAGGAGGTGGAGGAGGAGGAGGAAGAGGAGGAGGAAGAGGACGACGAGGACGAGGAGGGGAGGAGGGGCGGAGGAGGGGAGGAGGGAGCGGAGGAGGAGGGAGGAGAAGGAGGAGGTAGGAGGAGGAGGAGATATGGCAGAGAGAAGAAGGAGGAGGTAGGAGGAGGGGAGGGTGAGGACGTCTTCTTCTCTTGGAAGTTATTGAGTCTGGTGAGGAGGAGGAGGGGTGGAGGAGGAGGAGGAGGAGAGGAGGAGGAGGAGGAGGAGGAGGAGGAGGGGGAGGAGGAGGAGAAGGAGAAGGAGGATTTTTTTGGATATCAACGCTCGCACCGCACATGACTGACTCCTGCAATGCGGGACCTGCAGGAGCGGCCGAACACCTCCCTAACAGGGGGGTGCCAGCAGCCAGAGCAGCGCCAACGGTCTGGGCCATGCCCCCGTTGCGTGCTAAGTGCGCGAAACAAGAAGGACGCGCAAGAATACCGTGTTGCGCGCGCCCTGTTCGGGGTAGGGGGCGCCGGAGTCCGTGCTCCGACGCCCAACCTACCCACCACCCACTCCATGGGTGGCCGCTGGCGACGAGAGCAATTTTCTCTCCCCTTGGCCCCCTACGGGCAAACAAGGGTGACGATCGGGCTGCTACCCGCCTGTTTTCCTCGGAAAAGGGTCCCAGTGGCACAGGTGCCAAAGAGGAGGAGGAGAAGGAGGAGGAAGAGGAAGCGGAGGAGGAGGTGGAGGAGGAGGAGGAGGAGGAGGCAAGGAGACAAGACGCCTGCAGGACGCCAGCTGGGTGCAGCCCCAGGCTGCTCGAGGCCGTGCCGCCGTGTTGCCGGCGCTGACGCCCCCTCGGCTCGGGCGGGCCCTTGCGCGTGCGCCCGTGGAGCAGTCCCCACAGGCGAGGAGGGGGCGGACGGCGGGGCCCAGCGCAGCGGCATTTGTCTCTATCTCGCGACGACCTCCACGTCCAGCTCGTCGCAGCCGCGGAAGTACCTCACCTCCAGCCCCAGGCTCCGCGGCGCTGATTCCCCACGGTTGCTCAGACCGACCCCGTGGGCCACATGGTTCGGATGGATGCAACTACTAGGAGGTCATCGTCGGAAGGCCGAGGGAGAATTCGCCGGCCCAACGGGCCAGAGGCGTGCTAAGATCTCCGGTGACTGCTTTACAATATTCTTCTTCGCGCGCGCGGGGCGGCCCCTGGGGGTCTCCCCGCGAAAAGTACCCCGGCAGGGTCCCGGGAGACTCCCGGGAGGGTCCCGGGAGGTTCCCGTCAGAGATGTTCTCCCTCCTGGGTGCCGCCCTCGAGGTCCTCCAGAGAGCCTCCAGACGCCCCAAAACGCCCCCAAGATGCTACAAGAGGGCTCCGAGATGCCACAAGATCGCTCCAAGACGCTCCATATGGCCCCCAAACGCCCCAGGAGGCCTCCAAGAGCACTCCCAAGAGGGCCCCAATAGGCAAAATTCATTGCTTTTCCTTAGGTTTTGGTGAGATTTTGGTATTCCCACCCTTTCCGCTTTCCAACGCCCGACGACGGCCCAAGAGGCCCCCAAGACCGCTTCAAGAGTGCCCAAGAGCCCCCCACAAGGGCCTTACGACGAGCCAAGATGGCCCCAAAACGGCCCCAGAGGGCCCCAAGACGGCCCAAGAGGGCCCCAAGAACGCCCCAAGAGCGGCCCCAGGGGGGGAACACGACACAACATGTCCAGCCCTCGGCCCTAAGAAGCCCCCAGGAGGACCCCAGAGGCCCCTGAGAGGTCCCAAGAGGCCCCAAGAGGCCCCCACGAGGCCCTCAGGAGGCCCCCAAGAGTCCCCCAAGCGGCCCCAGGAGGCCCCCCAAATGCCCCCCCGAGCGCCCCAGGAGTCCCCCAAGCGGCCCCAGGAACCCCCAAAGCGCCGCATTGACACCAAGCCCTCGGGCAAACGGCAGACATGAGACTGTATGGGCCGGCGGAATGAGCGAAGCGATTAAATAAACCACAGTGGGGGGCTGTTACGCCGGATCGGGCCGCGAATTAAGCGGGGCAAAAACCAGTTTCAGCGGGATTCAGCCGGATCAAACGGGACTAAGCCAGATTAAGGCCAGATTTCGGACCTGGGCCAAGTCAGAATTTGACCTCCCAGAAGTTACATCCGAAACGTAGCACGGGAGCAACAAGACAGTCCCAGAGCAAGAGCACCGATCCACGAATGGAGGAAGGGCGATCTGCGCCGCTGACAACCAGAATGCCCCGCTGCCGTGCAACACCTCTTAAAGCCGTTGCCAACTGTGGTGCCGTCTGGTACTATGCTGGTGCCGTGCTGTACCGCGTAGTGCAGTGTGTCGATCTCCTTGCCTGTGCGATACTTCGTGGTCAGTGAAGAGCAGCGCTGTGTCGCAACAGCTTCCCGCCGTGGTGGCGTGTCGTTGCGAGTGGCCGCTCTCGGGTCCATGTGCCACGCAGTTCTGTAACCAACGACGGCTCAGGGTCCGATGAACACGACCTATGGGCGTACAACTCTCAAGGGTTCAAGAGGATGCAAGTCTTGAGGTTCTGTACATCCGTGAGCACATGCCAATTCTCCGTTGAATGTGAACTCTATGGGGCCGTTCTCTGTTTCCCCCTTGCCCGAAACAAGCCATCCACAGCCGTCGGGACGGAGTGCCTCAAGACGGCGTGCGAGGGCACAGAGATCCTCCCGAGACGACCCGAACGCGCTCCAAGGGCGGCCCCCGGGGAGTAGACGAAGAAATCAACTGTATGAACATAATCTTTCGGAGGTCCGCGGACTTCTTGGTCCCCCTCTCCCAGGATTAGGTCGGGCACGTCCTCCTACAGGCGGGTTGTGGGCGAAGCATCAAACATTGTCAAGACATACTCAAGAGCAGTCGAACATTGTAGAAAGATCGTCCCCAGACTATTGGTTGACTAGTTTTGGAGCTGTCCTCCTGGAGAGGGACACGCCCGACTTGAGGCGCGCGGAGCGCGACAAGGTCGGCGCTTGGGGCGGCGCCGCCACAGGGGGCCCAGCGCCGACCCAAGAACTCCGCACGCACCTCCGACAGGCTCTGCTTGTGCCGTGCCTCTCTCGCCCGGGATAAGAGAGGCCTCTCTCTCTCTCTGCCTCTCTCTCTCTCTCTCCTCTCTCTCTCTCTCTCTCCCTCTCTCTCTCTCTCCCTCTCTCTCTCTCCCTCTCTCTCTCCCTCTCTCTCTCCCTCTCTCTCTCTGCTTGTGCCGTGCCTCTCTCGCCCGGGATAAGAGAGGCCTCTCTCTCTCTCTCTCTTTCAGCTACCAGGGATGGTAGCGGCCTCCCCGTGGGGTCCGAGCCGAGAAGATGGGGAGGATCGCCGACGCGACGGCGATGCATCGGCGACGTCGGCGATGCATCGGCGCCGTCGGCGTGGAGACACTCGGGCTCCACATCGAGCCGCATCGCCGATGCATCGGCGATGCGACGCGATCCTCCGACACCATAAGCTCCGACCCCATCTGGGAGGCCTAGAGAGAAGGGTATGGACATAGGAGGAACAAGCAGTGGCATGAACATGAACGTTCGGAGGTCCGTGTGGATTTCTCGGATCGGCGCTAGACCCCCCTCCCTGGCTCTCGGAGCGCGCCAAGGGTGGCGCTGGAGGCGCCGCCAGGGAGGCCCAGCGCCGATCCGAGCTATCCATGCTCCGACGGTTTGTTATGTCATTGTTGACATCCTCGAGTTTATACCTCTCCCTAAGAGTGACAAGCCAAAAGGCGACGACAATCTTAGGGATGCGCCCTCGAAAACGGAGGGCATTCTTCAGATCGGCATCGAGATGGGGCGAGATCAATCATAGGCGCAGGGATGCTCCAGGCTGGTCAATTCCCAGACGTGCGAAGTCGTGCTGTTTTCAATGCTCGGTCCCCGGAAGTCCTGACCCACTCCCCGGGACCAATTTTTCGAGTCGTTTTTTGACGGTCCCGGGGCCCGGCGAGGGCCCCCGGAGGCCGAACATGGCCAAACACTTCCCGTCCTGATTTCTGTGTGCGACGCGTTGTTCGCCACCCCGAGGACAGAGCGTCGACCGCCGAACACGCAAGGGGGCAGGGGGGGGCGCCTCCGCTGACCGTCCAGAGGGTGCTGAAACAATAGCCCTCCAGACCTGTAGGCCCCTCTGGGCTGCTTAAGATAACCTAGACTGGAGTTTAGCTGTCGAGGTCATGGTGCTATTTTTTTGAGCCCTTTATGAGCATCGTTCAACCGATCCCCATCCCCACCAGCGTGGGCTGCGCCCCACTGGCCGATTCCCCCCACTGATGGGGATATAGTCTGCTCTCTTCGGGCTTCGAGGGGCACATCCCCAACTGAGGTGGTGAGAAGGTGGGGCTCGAGATGTGGATGGGGATGTGGGAAGCGATCGGTTTAGCGATACTGACTCGACCGGGATCGGTTAGGGATAGGGATGGGGATAAGGATAGGGATGGGGATGGGGATGGGTGAGGGATGGGGATGGGGATAGGGATCGGTTTGGGATAGGGATAGGGATCGGGATCTGGGTTGGCAGCGCCTCCGAGGGGACCCGTGGGGGGGGGGATCGTCCGAGCGACCGTGGCGCTGCCCCGGGCGGGCCCCGTGGAAGGCCGCGGCGCAGGGAGCCGGGCCAGAGCCGCCGCCGCAGCGCGAGGCGCCGCGGCCGCGCGAGGCAGTGGGCGCACCTGCCGGGAGGCGCGGGTCGAGGGGCGAGGGCGGATTCCAGACCACCTCCTCTCCTCCCTCCTCCTCCTCTCTCTTTCCTCCTCCTCCTCCTCCTCCTCCTCCTCCTCCTCCTCCTCCTCTTCCTCCTCCTCTCCTCCTACCCTCCTCTCATACTCCTCCTCCTCCTCCTCCTCCTCCTATCCTCCTCCTCCCTCATCCTCTCTCCTCCCTCACTCCCTCCTCCTCCTCCTCCTCCTCCTCCTCCTCCTCGTCCTCCCTCCTCCTCCTCCTCCTCCTCCTCATTCCCTCCTCCTCCCCTCCCTCCTCCCTCCTCCCTACTCCTCTCCTTCTTCCTTATCCTCTCATCCTCCTCCTCCTCCTCTCTCTTCCTCCTCCCTCCCTCCTCTCCTCCTCCTCCTCCTCTCTCTTCCTCCTCTCCTTCTCCGGCCTCCTCCGGCTCCTCCTCCTCCTCCTCCTCCTCCTCCTCCTCCTCCTCCTGCGTGAGAAACACAACTGGGGCGCAACGCGCTTAATTGAAGTGGAGCGCAGCGCGCTTGAAATCCGGAATGGAGCGCAACGCGCTTTTATACTGGAGCGCAAAGCGCTTGATTGGACTGAGTTCATGAAAACGTGAAGCGCATGATTGAATTCAAGCTGGAGCGCAATGTGTTTGGTTGGAAGGGGCGCGAAGCGCATGCAGCGCAACGCGCTTGGAAAGCGCTGGCATCGCAAAGCGCGGGGCAAACAAACACAACAACAACAACAACAACAACAACAACAACAACAACAACAGCAACAACAACAACAGCAACAACAACAACACCAACACCAACACCAACACCAACACCAACAACAACAACAACAACAACAACAATCATTTTACCCGAACGCTCAGTGTTCTCACCAGTGCCAGGGTTTTCATGCGACGCGAGACAATACCCCCACTTCGTGGGGGGGCAGTTCAAGCTCTACCAAATATCCAAACGACTCTTCGCGACCACCCAAACCCAGCTTCCCGCCCTATGACGTTGGGACACTTCACTTCGTGGCGTGCGGACGACCGTGGCTACTACACTGGCGTGGGGTACACACCCACAGAACTTGGTCACTTATTCGGGGCGCGCGTGTGCCCAGCATCCTGCAATTGTGACATACAATACATGACACAGACAGACAGAGAGAGAGAGAGCAGAGCACAGAGAGAGAGACAGAGAGAGCGGAGTTGGCCACATTTTTGGGGCAAGTTCCTGAGATCGTCGTGTTTTTTGTTGGTCTTGCGCGCGCGAATGTCCACTTTACTTTTTTTTGCAAGGGATGTTGAAATTTGATTATGTAAGAACAAGAAAAAGTAGCTCGCGCGAGCTTATGTAACATAAATGTTGAAAAACCATTGGTTTTGTGGGAGTCGGACAGCGCGCGCGGGATGAAATTTGGACATTTTTTTTTGAAAAACCATTGGGTTTTTGATGTTTTTATGTTGAAATCGTTACGAAACCTAAGGTTCTGGAAGGATTTCGTCTTGCGCGCGCGAATGTCCACTTTACCTTATTTTTTGCAAGGGATTATTGAAATTTGATTATGTTAGAACAAGAAAAAGTAGCTCGCGCGAGCTCATGTAACATAAATGTTGAAAAACCATTGGTTTTGTAGGATTCGGACAGCGCGCGCGGAAGGACATTTTGACAATTTTTTCTTAAAAAACCATTGGGTTTTTGATGTTTTTATGTTAAAATCGTTACGAAACCTAAGGTTTTGGAAGGATTTCGTCTTGCGCGCACGAATGTCCACTTTACCTTATTTTTTGCAAGGGATTCTTGCAATTTGATCAAGTAAGAACAAGAATTTTCATTTTATGATGTTTTTTGCAAGGGAAAACGAGCGTCAACAAAAAACCGGATCCGGTACCAATCGTTTTGCCTGAGACTTCCTCACGAAAATGATGAAAATGTGGCTGCGGCCTAGGCGCGGCGGGGGGGTCGCGCACCAGGGGTCCCAACAATAATTATTCTTAAGAAGAAATAATGTTCAACAACAACAACAACAACACCAACACCAACACCAACACCACCACCACCACCAACAACAACACGCTATGGAGGGCATACGTAACGCAACAACATAGAAAAACGAGGCTGACCAAAACATTGAAATCTGTATTCGCAGCGCGTTTTTTTTTTTTTCTCCTCCTCCTCCTCCTCCTCCTCCTCCTCCTCCTCTTCCACCTTCTCCTCCTCCTCCTCCTCCTCCTACTACTCCTCCTCTTCCTCCTTCATCTTCCGTTGTGACAGAATAGCGACAATGGGTTTTGGCCGCTTTCGGCCTCCAAAGGCCCTGGCCCCAAGACCGTCAGAAACAACTCCGGATGCAAAACTGGTCCCGGGGCAAGGGTCGGGACTTCTGGGGACCGCGTAGTGAAAAATCACCACGTCGCATGTCTAGGGAAGTGCGGCAAATTCGTGTCGTGACGGCTTCGGCGTTGGTTTCTGACACCGCGTGGATCGTTCAGCTCTGAATGATCGGCGGCTTCTCGATCGCCCAAACGCACCATAATAAAAAAAACGCCATCCGCGCGGATTTCTTGGATCCGCGCTGGACCCGCGGAGCGCGCCAGGGGCGGCGCTGGAGGCGCCGCCAGGGGGGTGGGGGCAGCGCAGACCCAAGAAATCCGCGCGGAGCGCCAAAAGTTTATGTTTATGGCGTTCGTTCTTCTTCGAATAGGTGGCCGATGCTGGGCAACTGGCGGCGCGCAACCTTTGAAGGTCCGCGCCAGGTTCGCCAGCGCATCGACACGACACGAACGCCCCGAACTCCACAACGCTTGTGCATGTCACCCAACTTCGCGCGCCGACGCGCTGCCCGGCCCTCACCCCTGCTGCTGCTGCTGCTCCTCCTCCTCGTCCTCCTGACTCCTCCTGCCCCGTGCTTCCTCGTCCTCCTCCCGCATGTCGACGTCTGGACGCAGGCTGGGGCTCTCCGGTAGCACATACCTGACACTCGTATTCGGGATCATCTGCCAGTGCGTTGCGTTATGGATGTGCGCGTAGCTTTTGAAGGTGGAACGCGGCATGTGCACGCCGCACGCCTTTTCAGGCATCGCGAAGCCTTGGCCGCGGGCGCTCGCCGCGATAACCACGCGCTGGGTGTGAGGAGGCTTGGACCGAGCGTCGCTTCGCGGATGCCTGGCGCCTCTCGTATCAACTGGCTGGGCGTGGCGAGGGCCCTCGCAAGCGCCGGCTACGCCTGATTGCAGACTTCCATGGGACGCACAGAGACATACCAGTACTACATGGTGTCCTTGGAGGCGCGCGTCCGACCCGAACACATGGTATACCCATATTGTAGTATATCGTTTCCCGAGCGGTGTGGCCAGAGAGCGCCCGCCACGACGCATGTACTATAGGATTTCTCGGTGCGCGCATCGCCCATGCGGGAGGCGACGAACATATAGTATAAGTATGTTGGGGTGACGCCGATTACAGGCGTCTCCCTCCTCCTCCTCCTCCTCCTCCTCGTCCTCCTCCTCCTCGTCCTCATCCTTCTTCTCCTCCCTCCTTTTCCTCCTCCTCTCTCCCTCCTCCTTCTCCTCCTCCTCCTCCTTCTCCTCCTCCTCCTCGTCCTCCTCCCTCTGCTCCTCCTCCTCCTCTCCTCTCTCCTCCTCCTCCCCCTCCTCCTCCTCCTCCTCCTCCTCCTCTCCTCCTCTCCTCCTCCTCCTCCTCCTTCCTCCTCCTCCTCCTCCCTCCTCCTCCTCTCTCTCTCCTCCTCCTCCTCCTCTGCCTCCTCCTCCTCCTCCTCCTCCTCCTCCTCATCATCATCATCATCATCATCCCTCCTCCTCCTCGTCGTCTGCCGAGAAGCTCGCTCAGGTCTCCCTGCCGGCTCGGGAAGGCGGACTAACAGCGACGCCATTCGACTACGATGCCGAGCTCGCTAAGCGATCGCGGACATTGGACTGGTCGTTTGACGATTGGGAAGATCTGTCTACCCGTGATTTTGAAATTTTGCACGTCGCAGAGAGTTCGTCGAGTCCCTCATCGCCGGAGCGTGCCGCCATGGGCCATGGGGGATCTCGAACGATTTGCTGCGCATGCTTTTGTTCCTCAAAGAAGAGCGAACGCCATACACATAAACTTTTGGCGCTCCGCGCGGATTTCCTGGATCTGCGCTGGGCCCCCCCCTCCCTGGCGCGCGGGGCGCGCCAGGGGCGGCGCCGGAGGCGCCGCCAGGGGGACCCAGCGCGGATCCAAGAAATCTGCGCGGAGCGCCAAAAGCTCATGCTTATGGCGTTCTTCTTCGGGAACTCCAGGCAAGCGGCCGCTTTGCTGGAGTGGGCATGCAGGTCAAGGATTCGGAGGCCCCCGGCACCATGGACGTTGATCCTTGTGATCGTTGTAATCGTTGATCGTTGTGATCTTTGTGAATATTTATGATCGTTGTGATCGTTATCGTTGTGATCGGTGTGATCGCTATAACTGTGATAGATGTGTTCGCTATCGCTATCGTTTTCGCTGTTATCGTTATTATCGTTGTGATCGTTGCCATGGACGCCTTCGTGATGACGCCATCTGCGTGTCCGCTTGCGTCGCCGCTCGACTCTTCGGGCGGCGGGGCGGGGGGAGAGTCCGCGAAATGTTTCTTCGATGTGAAGAGCGCGTTCTGCTGCCCACGCACACAGAGGAGCTGTGTTTCCTTCGCTAACCAGCAGCTTGGTTGAGCGATGTGTTCTGATGAGCTGGACTTCTTGATCGTCCGCGTCGACACTGGTGACGGTAGCTCCCAATGGGTTCGAATGGGGGCACCGCGCGGGTCCTTCTTCGTTGACCGGCATCATGAACGCGAAGGTCGACTTCTGCCTGAGACTCCTGGGCAACGCACAGATTACAGGTTCGCTGGCCATGGACTCGCTCCGACTTGTTGGGGACGTTGGTACTTCCACATTCGCGGACGATGCGAAGACGACACTCCTCGCCGACACTTTTAAGAGCTCTGTCTTCGCTTGCCGACGGGGCTCGCACTGACTTGACCAAGCTCTCATGTCCAAGCCGTGGGCCGACGCGGAGGCCCTGCCCTCCTTCGTGCAGCACCAGGGCAAGTGTGAGATCGTGATTTCCTACAATGGGGAAGTCACGCGACGTCATTGGCTGCGAACGTGCAAGTCAGAAGGTGTTTACCCTGGCCGGGTACTTCCGGCCACTCGTCACCGCGGAGGCTGGCGAATTCCACGTTGTTTTTTCCATGACCTGCACGTCCGCAGGATGGAGGCCGCCAGGAGGAGGAAGAGGAGGAAACGGAGGAAGAGATGGAAAATAAGGAAAAGAAAGACGAGGAGGAGGAGGAGAAGGAGAAGAAGGGGGAGAAGAAGGGGGAGAAGAAGGAGGAGGAGGAGGAGCAGGAGGAGGAGGAGGACGAGGAGGAGGAGGAGGAGGAAGAGGAGGAGCAAGAGCAAATTATCTTGGCGCGCCGCCGACCCTGATTTCGCCACCGCTGGTGTCCGTGCCGTGGTACCCTGCACTTCGCTCTCGGGAGCCTCCTCCTCCTCCTCCTCCTCCTCCTCCTCCTCCTTCTCGTCCTCCCCCTCTTCCTCCTTCTCTCCTCCTCCTTCTCCTCCTCCTCCTCCTCCTCCTCCTCCTCCTCCTCCTCCTCCAGGCCATCGATGGCCTCTGGCGTCGCCTTGGGCAGCGAATCCTCCTTGCACGTCGGCCCGCCCTGTCCGTGGCCATACAATCCTTGAACTTCGCCGACGCGTCCACCGAGCTGCGTATCGACTGGCTGCGCTGGTATCAGTCTACGAGCAAGCCCCCGCAGGTGTACCAGCAGTGGCTTCTGGCAGTCGTTGGGTGCATCGAGGGTGAGCCTACTGTTGGCGAGGCTGGCATGCCCCTTCTGGCTGCTAATATGTGGGCTCGGCAGGTTGTCGAGGATATTCGTGCTCTGACTTCGTTCGACGATCACGCAGCTGCTGCGGAAGAATGCGCCTCTTTTCCCGTCCGTGTCTTTCACGGACCTGACCTTGCTGCACTGTCTCTGGCGATCGATCTTCCAATCCTGCGTGCAGCGACGTTGACGACGGTGGCTCCGCCAGCGGGCTCAGGGTGGCATCATGAGGGGGCCGCTCGCGTTGCCGATCTGGCCGCCGACCCGACTTTCATACAGCGGAGGCCAGTCCACAAGAAGCCCTCCACAAGAAACCCGACCCTGAGACCCCAGGACGTCCATGGATTTTCGGTGTGGGGACGCCACGCTCTCCAGAGCAGAACCATCGAGACCCAAGAAACCCGGGGCACCCCGGAGGCGAGCAGGGTGCTCCTTTGCATGGGCCTCCACTGTGTGCGCGCTGCCTGGCGAGAACGATGGCTTATGCGGCATGCGACGCGCCTCCCGGCGGGCGCTGCGGGCGCATCAAACGAGCTCGAGCCACGATGGGCACACGTCTAGACTCCCACGGCAAGCGCGGCCGCGATCACGAAGCGGTGCTGCATCCGTCGACGCGTTGTCGCGCCTCCCCTGGCCGCACACAGACACCCTGCGGCTCCGACTGCGCGGAGCTCTTGCTCCGGGGAGGGGAGCGACCACATCACCGACGTCGTTGCTCCCGATTCGCTTCGTCGCCCCCTCTGCGACAGCGAACCTTTCGAGGCCTTCGACCTCCTGCAAAACCACGTCCGTGGTCACTTAGGCTCGACCCGTGCCTCGGCCGGGGCGCGACGCGATTTGATTCCAGGGCTGCAGCCTCTTCGTCAATGAGTGCTCGCACGACATGGTGCACGAGAACTTCCCGAAGGGCGGCGTCACGCAGGACAGGCAGGCCAAGCAGGCCTGCCAGGACAGGGCGGAGCAGGAGCTGGGCGAGAAGCGCGACGAGCTGATCTTGCTCGCCCAGCTCGCGGCGGAGCCACGGGCGCACGTGGCCAACCTCTTCCGCACGTTCCTCGTGCCGAGACCGACCGGGGGGGCGTACAGTCGGGGCGTTGACCTAAGGAACCCTAAATAAGGAACGAGGCCCCTTTTTTTCCACAAGTTAAACTTCGATTTCCCATCGAAAACATAAGGAATAAATAAAGCAAATTGCACAACAATCAAGGAACACCGAGCCCCTCCCCAACGAAAAGGGTTTCTTCTTCAGGGCCCCGACTGTACTACGACGCGATGAAGGAGGCAGCGGGCAACTGCGACGAGAGCGTCCGCGGCGAGAAGGGACACGTGCGGCAGGGCAGCCCAGCACCTCGTGCGACGGTGGCGGCCCGCCGCACGAAGAAGGACGCGCGGGGCGCCGCCGGCGAGCAGCACGCGCTGATCGAGACAGTCCTGATGGTGTTCGGCGCCCCCAGCATTACCAGCCTCGAACGTATCCCTATCCCTATGATTGACACGCCAAATGGCGATGACAATCTCAGGGATCCGCCCTCAAAAAATAAGGGAATCCCCAAGATTGGCATCGTGATGAGGTGGCCAGCACAGGGATAGGGATATGTTCAAGGCTGGTAACAGCAAGCTGGGCGGGCACCTCCTGGAGTTCCGCGGGCACGAGGCCAAGGACCGGGGGCACATCGCTGCCGCGCCAGCGTCCCCAGCAAGCTGGGCGGGCACCTCTTGGAGTTCCGCGGGCACGAGACCAAGGAGCGGGGGCACATCGCTGCCGCGCCAGCGTGCCCAGTGAGCTGGGCGGGCACCTCTTGGAGCTCCGCGGGCACGAGACCAAGGAGCGGGGGCACATCGCTGCCGCGCCAGCGTGCCCAGTGAGCCGGGCGGGCACCTCTTGGAGCTCCGCGGGCGCGAGACCAAAGAGCGGGGGCACATCGCTGCCGCGCCAGCGTGACCCCGACGGCGCCCGAGGTCCTCCGCAGGGCGATCGGCCAGGTCATCAAGGGCTGGGCTTGCGAGGGAGAGGAGGTCTTCGGCCCAGAGCAAGCGGGAGAGGAGGCTCCCGGCCCGCATCCGGCGCCTGAAGTGAGCGCCAGCCGCGGCGAGGCGAGCAGACACAACTCAGACCACCCCTAAGGACCTTCGCTGCCCCGATACGCAACACGCAACACGTAGCGTGTTGATACGGAGCTCAATGCGTATCCTGAAAGCGTAGGCATGCTGCGATGCGTTTGCCAAAACGTGGGCCAAAAGGTTGAGCCAGCACGCAAAGTATTGACACGGACGTTGTGAGCACGGTACGTGTTGCGTGTATCAACACGTGCGTATCGAAGCCGCTAAGCGAAGGACACTTAGGAGGGGGATTTGAAAAACCATGTTTGAAAAGAGCCACAACATCATCTGGAGGGACGGAGCTCGCGCCGCCGTTCCCTCTTCTTCTTCCTCCTCCTCCTCCTCCTCCTCCTCCTCCTCCTCCTCCTCCTCCCCCTCCTCCTGCTCCCCCTCCTCCTCCTCCTCTTCCTCCTCCTCATCCTCCCCCAAATTTTGGATCCCGCTTTCGGCTTGTATCTCAGTGCCGCTGCTACGGACGAACATGCAATGCTTCCTCGCTGTGCCGCTCGGGACGCGGCGCGCCGGTGTCCAACGCTAGGGCGGGCACGGACTAACCGTTGAAGTGGTCTCTTCCGACCCCTCATTGCGAGTGCGGGGCTGGCTAGTTTCTGGTATCGAGGAAACTGGCCGCGTCGGCCCCGATCGAACTTTCCAGCTTGGCGACTTCAAGGCAGGTTGCGCCTTGATATCTCCGAGTTTCGCTTGAGCTCCGCCTTTTGGTCATTTGGAAATCGGAAAACATCCTCCTCCTCCTCCTCCTCCTCCTCCTCCTCCTGCTTTTCCCTTATCCCCTCCTCCCTCCCTCTCCCCCTCCTCCGCTCCTCCTCCTCCTCCTCCTCCTCCTCCTCCTCCTCCTCATCCTCCTCCGCCTCCTCCTCCTCCCTCCTCCCCCTCCTCCTCCTCCTCCTTCTCCTCCTCCCCCCCTCCTCCTTCTCCTCTCCCCTCTCCTCCTCCTCCTCCTCCTCCTCCTCCTCCTCCTCCTCCTCCTCCTCCTCCTCCTCCTTCTCCTCCTCCTCCTCCTTCCCCCTCCTCTCGCCTGCACTCGAAGCCGCGGTGCACCAAGATGAAGTCGCGGCGGTCCCTGGCCCGCGCGCGCAGCATCAGGGAGGGCACGTACGAGTACGTCACCTCCTCGCCTGACGACGCCAGTGAAGGGGAACTGGAACACACAAATAAATACACACAAATAAAAATATCCCCCATATTTTCCCATATTTTCTGGGTTTTTGTCTTCCCCACCACTTCCCATATTTTTGCATATTTTCCTGGGAGTCGACGACTAATTGTGTCTGTGTGTTTCTTTCCCTCCTGAGCCAGGGCTCGAGCTAAACGGTGTTTCTCGTTTTCGTGCTGTTCTCGGCTTTCACCATTCTGTCTTCGTTCCGCTCGCGCTGCAGAGCGGGGTCGAAACGAGAGCGGCCGACGGACTCGCCCAAGCACCGCTCTCCCCATCGCTCGGAGGTCCCTTCCCCCTGCATGTTTCGACGTCGTGCGGTCCTTCACTCGTTTGCACAGGAGGGTCAGGATGGACGCCCACCCCCCGTGCCTTTCTCGACTTCGCGCGTTCGCTCTCTTTTGCTTTGTCGCAGGGCGGTCCGGATGATCTCCTCGATGCCCCTCGCCGCGGACAGATGCCCCTCGGTGCCCCTCGATGCCCAGGTCCTAGACTCGGGAGCGGCCAAGAGGGGGGTGTCCAAGAGGGGGGGGTGCAAATCATGACTGGCGGCATGTGCGCGGCCCAGCGGGGGGGCCCGGGACTTAATGTAGTGAGAAGGGGCGCCATGAGATCTGGGGAAATACCATGGCCCCCGCCATGATATCCACCCCCCCGCTAGTCATCACCCCCCTCTTTTCCGCCCCCGACAAGTCCGACGCCAGCGCCCGAGCGATGCCGGGCCGTTCTTTCGAGCTCGGGCCCCGGGGGCGGCGCAGGGACGGGGCCCGCCGACCGCCCGAGAGGGGCGGAGGGCGCGCACAAGAAGAGGGGGGCGCAAGGGCGCGAGGAGGGGCGACCTGCGCAGCCGGCGGGCGGCGGGGGCCTTCCGAGAGCGAAGGGGGGGCCCTCTGGCCCAGACCCGCCCCGAAGGGCCAGAATAACAGCACCAGGACCTCGACGGCTACTAATAGCCAGTCGATGGGAGAATTGAGCAGCCCAGCTGGGTCTATTGAGACGAAGCCAGGACGAGGCTAACTTCAGGCGGAGATGAATCGGGAATCTCTGAGATCTAGCAGCTCTGGAGGATGTCTCGGGCGCCTCGGCCTTCTCGGAGCGTTCCGGAACGCTCTGCAACGGATGTGTCCTCGTCCTAGCCCCGACCGATTCGAAGATGAGCGACGATCAAGCACGGGTCTTACGCGAGATGGCACAGCGGCCTCACGCCGCAGCTTGCGTGGGCCGTCGGCGCGGCACGCCACATTGGAAACGGGGGCACTTACTCGCGACCTGACGCGAGCAGCTCGCGCGCCAATGTCGGCGAAGACGACCCCGCTTCTCTTGTGTTGCGTTGATGCCTCCCGGGCCATTCCGCCAGGAAGGAGGAAGAGCAGGAGGAGAAGGAGGAGGAGGAGGAGGAGGAGGAGGAGGGACAGCAGGAGGAGATGGAGGAGGAGGAGGAGGAGGAGGAGGGAGGAGGAAAGGAGGAGGGAAGGAGGAGGAGGAGGAGGAGGGGGAGGGGGAAGGTAGAGGAGGAGCAGAGCAGGAGCAGGGGGAGGAGGAGGAGGAGGAGGAGGAGGAGGAGGAGGGGCGGGAGGAGGCGGAGGAGGAGGAGAGGGATGGGGAGAGGAGGAAGGAGGAGGGAGGAGGGGGAGGAGGAGGAGGAGAAAAGGGAGGCGAGGAGGGAGGGGGAGAGGGAGGAGGGAGGAGGAGGAGAGAAGGAGGAGGAGGAGGAGGATACTGGCGGATTACACAGCCTTGAGGGTGGCTGGGCCCTGTGCGAGTTGGCACCGTAAAGAGCGTTACATCTCGGTGGTGTCTGATGCCCCTGTCATGGGGGGATAAAAGAGGCGGCCGCCAACCGAGAGGGGCTCGCGTGTTGCCTCTGTCCGAGGGCGCCGAAAAGACGGCCACCTTTTCGAGAGACACCTGTGACAGGTGGTGAGACCCTTTGGGAGTGGGTTTGCCTGCTCGGGCAAGCAATGGGAATGAAATGGTCGTCGGTTGGGCGAGTGCGCTGGGGTCTCCAGCGAGAGCCTGGGGTGGGAAGGCAGGTGGGATATCGGGTAGCGGAAAGGAATGCGATGATGGAAGACACAGAGGTTGGGAGGTGAGATCGCAAAGGAAATGAGAACGAAAGAGAGACCGATAGAAGAAATCAGCAGCAGGAAGCACGCATCATACAGCGAAGACCGGAGCGAGAATGTACGAGAAGCTGGGGGCGGCGAAATCTAGTTCAGGGGCGCAGGGGTGCGTGCAACTCCCCGCCTGTGAGCCGAGCGGTTGATTGGACACAGGAATGGGTTTCCCGCTGTCCAGGCGACCAGAGGAAAAAGATGAGAGAATGACACGGGGGAGTAAACGCGAAGCTTGGACACCCGATTTGGGGCTGCAAGACATCAGTGCCACAAGTAACGCTACGCGAAGTCGCGCAGGGTGCGGGTGAGAATGTGGCGCAAGCTATTGCGCCCCGCCATCGCCATTGTATCTTGGTTTGAGTGTTGGACGGCCCTGAAGGGCATTCCATGGGCTGACCAATGGGCGAGCCACACACACAAGTGTAAGGGTTGAGCGGCCTGTTGAGAGGCCACTGGAGGGCATTTCCTTGGGCGGAAACGTGGGCGAGACACATGCGTATTAGAATGTTGAACGGCCCTGAACGTCATTCCGCTGGCGGCTGCACGGGCGAGCCACACACAGCGTGGTAAATGCCACGGGGACGGCACGCCGTGACACGCTTTCGCGAGATGGAGGAGCCGGGCCGTGCCTGATGAAATGCCCTCCAGGTTCGATGGGAAGCCTGAAATGGTCTACTGTCACAACCGTTAGGACCGAATGCAAGATCGACGAGTGGCCCGACAAATGGAGTGAACGCGGCAATGGGATCAACAGGCTTCAAATATGGAGCGGCACTGGCGGGTGCCCATCAATGGGGTAGCCGGATGGTCAAGGATGATGGGGCAACGGGCATGGAAGAACGAGGCTGGAAAAGAAGAGGAGGGGGAGGAGGAGGAGGAGCAGGAGGAGGAGAAGCAGGAGCAAGGCACGCAGCGAGAGAGAGAGAGAGAGAGAGAGAGGAAGAGAGGGAGAGAGAAAGAGAAAGAGAGGGAGAGGGAAGCAAGAACACTGAGACAACAAGGGAAACGGGACCACAGTGAGGCCGGGAAAGAAGGGGAAGCAGTGGTGGAGAAACGGATGAGGGTGTGGCTGTGGCGCCCCAACTTCCTGGCCTTTGAAGGCTGGTGATAAACGCTTGGCTCAAGATGACCGCGTGCATGGAAGCGGGCGAACAGATGAAGGTGTGGAGCGAATCTCAGGAGAAGGAGGGGGCGGGTAACAAGGAAGACAGAATCAAGGACAAAGGAGGCAGGGACGGAAGCAGAAGTAAGCCGGCAGAGGATAATGGCGCACAGCAGAACTCCTTAAATGTCGCATCGCAGGCGCGTCTAAGGGATATGACATTAATCGATGTGCAAGCGTGAAGTACATCGCGTGGCATAGCAGCGTGGTGAGGAATGCCATTATAACAAAGACAAGATTTCACCATGTACCGGCTCTTGCGGCCTCCCTGTAGGAAAGATCAAACCAAAAGCAAACACAAGCGACTGCCAAAAAGGAGATGCCTCCCGGAGGCGCCCGGCTCCAGGGAGGCATTCCGACAGCGCAGCAGACCGAGTTCTCAGAGCTGCGTCCAGCCGTGCCGGCGAGGGGCCCCAACGAGGCCAAGGGCAGGGCGGTCCCAAAGGACAGGGCCGTCGCCGCCCCGGTCCTGGAGAGAAGGAGGGAGAAGATACCCGGAGCTCAGCGCTCCAGCCACTGCTATAAACCCGCTCCACAGACGGGCGTCCGAATGAACAAGTAGACACCTTTGGAGAGCAGCGATGCAAAAATGAATACCACCGCAAGAAGGAGCGCCGCAGGAACGGAGAAGCAGGAAGACAAGGGAAGAACAAGGAAACCGGGGAAACAAAAAGGCGTAGCAGGACGGGGCAGCAGACAGAGGGAGGAAGAGAAGAGGGAAGACGGGGCAAGCGCACAACCCAGGCAACAAAGTATACCAATATCCCAAGTTGGGCACGTAGGCAACGGCCTGCGGGGGAAAGTAATTTCGCCCCGCGGGGAGGAAGGCCCGAGCCTATTAGAAAGACGGGGGTAGCGGGATGAGCTGGGAGAGAGCAAGGGCACCGGGGTAGCACAATGGCAAAGAAGGATGGGGTAGCAGCGGTGGAAGCAGGATGAAGGATGGATCGCTGGTGTCGCCCCAGCTCCCTAGCCTTTGGGGGCTTGTGAGGGTGCTCGTCGAGAGTGCCCGAGAGCACTCTCTTACCAGCGCCCTGTGCGTCCCTCACAAGAATCGACCCCGAAGGATGCGGGTAGCCTTTGGCACGGGGAGGCGGAGGAGGAGGAGGAGGAGGAGGAGGAGG